GCAGGACAACCACCAAATATCCCAACCTCCTCACTCCACGGAGCTCAGATAACAGTGGAGCCCAAGGAAATATTAAGACCAAGTCTTTACCTTCACAAGGCTCCCAGACTTGCTGGAATGACAAAATATCAAAGCTAGTATATTAGATAGTCAGGTTCATCATCGAGTGTTAAAGAGAGAAAAAATGCAGATGTGATTTAACATCAGGAAGATGCACTACTCTGGAAACAATGGCTCAAACCCCTGTCCAGACCACTCAGTAGCTTACTGCAAGCTGAGCGCTGGGAACTTTGGGGTCTTCCATTTCCATCCTCCATACTCCAGCAATCAACAGGCTGAAAAAATAAAACGTGGCACACACACTCATTACCGCTCATCTGCTTGCTATGTGCCATGCACTGCGCTAAGTATTTCACACATAATAATTTATCGTTTAATCCTGTGACATAGACACTATCACGATTCCCATCTCAGAGGTGAGGAAAACTCACCCAGTGACCCATGGTGTGTTCAGTTATGAAGCTTCAGGTCTCCACTATGTGCAGACCCCACATAGCAGTCTACAGTTTTTCAAATGCATGAAAATGGAGCTGTAATCTCTAAAATAAATAATTAAATGAATGTTTTATGAAACGTGTAGTAGCTGTTTTGGTCAGTAGTATAGTTTGTTTTCTCAGTCCACAGACACCAAAAGTAGCAAGAAATGATGAGTGTCCTTAACATTTCTGGTATTACATTTTTACACCAATCATATTGGTGATGTTCTAATTCTTAGGTTGGGTGGTATATTCCCAAAGTTCATTATGTTGCTATGTTACATAACATGTGTATGTGCATGTATATACACACATACATACTCATCTCACATTCTCTTGAATTATTTGAGTATTACATAATTTTTTTAATGTTTAAGAAGATTGTCAGTCTAAGAAGGTCAAAACAGCACCTTTAAAAACAAGGGGTTTAAAACCAAGGGTCTTGGGGACTTCCCTGGTGGCACAGAGGTTAAGAATCCACCTGCCAGTGCAGGGTACACGGGTTCGATCCCTGGTCCGGGAAGATCCCATGTGCCTTGGGACAACCAAGCCCATGTGCCACACCTACTGAGCCTGCACTCTAGAGCCCGCGAGCCACAACTACTGAGCCTGCGTGCTGCACAAGAGAAGCCACAGCAATGAGAAGCCTGTGCACCACAACGAAAAGTAGCCCCTGCTCACCGCAACTAGAGAAAGCCCACGTGCAGCAACAGAGACCCAACACAGCCTGGCGTTAGGGAGACGTACCACGTGAGTTCCCGCAGGCTCATTCTGGCAATAACAAAACTAACCACAGCACGGGTCATCTACAGAGTAAGGTGGATGATGGCGGCGTGGGGGGGGGGGCGGTGTGTGCTGTCTTCCTCTAGCAAAGGGGGAGTTCCGGGAGGATTGTGAATGACTGATGATACCACTGAAAAGAATTACAGTAAGGCCCCTACACACGAGCCTTCAAGCTGTGAAGGTGCGGTCCACCAACGTCAGCCAGCCGTGAGTGAAACTGCAGCTTCCTCCGTCTCGTCTCCTGTTGCTGGCGATCCTTCAGCTCTACCTCTCCCACCTCCTCTCCCTCCTCCAGTCAGTAACTCTTCCTGCCTGTTCACTCGGCGCCAGCCCGTGTGTGCCAGCTGTTGTGCTGGACTACTGTACTTTTCAAGGTACTATATACCGTAAGATTAAAAATGCTTTATTGGGGCTTCCCTGGTGGCGCAGTGGTTGAGAGTCTGCCTGCCGATACAGGGGACACGGATTCGTGCCCCGGTTCGGGAAGATCCCACATGCCGCGGAGCGGCTGGGCCCGTGAGCCACGGCCGCTGAGCCTGCGCGTCCGGAGCCTGTGCTCCGCAACGGGAGAGGCCGCAACAGTGAAAGGCCCGCGCACCGCAAAAAACAAAACAAACAAAAAACAGTTTAATTTTTTTGTTTGTTTTTTATGTATTGTGTGAAAACTTTTATAAACCAATCACAGTGCAGTACTATAGAGCCGATTGTGTTAGTTGGGTACCTAGGCTAACTTTGTTGGACTTACGAACAAACTGGACTTACAAATGTGCTCTCAGAACGGAACTCGTTCGTATGTAGCGGGCTTACTGTATGTTGTTAAACATCTTTAATGGGAATACTAATTTAAATGGGCTGGGAAAGGGCGGAGGAAGAGGAGGGAAAGCACAACACACCTGTGTATGCTTTCTATATCGACTGTGTAAGTTTTACAATCTGAAAAATATAATGTAAATAACTAGAAAAAAACTCTAGAAACAATAAGGTCCTGCTCTAGGATCCAAGAACCCAGTGCCTACTGCCCCCTCCCCACCCCCTTCCACCTCCCAGCCCCTCAACCACTCATCGACTGAATGAGCGCAGCACTTCCTCCCTGGAAACCTCTCCCCCGGTCCTTCTTCCCCTCCACAGGGTTTTCTCCTCTTACAGACCTCTGTATTCTTAGCACTTTGCCCCTATCTCACCATACACACTCATCGCATTAGAATAATGACCATTATTTACTAACCACCCGTTTGAAGGTGGGCACTGGCCTAGATACCTGACATACATTCCCTCTTTGTAACCATCACAACTACCCTCAATGATAGATGTTACCATCCCCATAACCTGCCCCAAATCGCTGACCATGTGGGCGACCCAATTCCTTGCTTACTCTGAAGCATATGCTTTCTCCTGTCAGCATGTGTTCGTGCAAAAGCAGGCACATCTTCAGTGCTCAATTAATATGTGCTGACAGACTGAAAGACATACCTACAGTTTGCTTCCAACGAAGGAAAAGACGCAGGAAAGCATTACTCCAAAGGGAACTTTCCTTTCCTATCCCAACTTGCTCTGTCAGATAATACCCAATGGCCCCAGCATCAAAAGAAACCAGCACACACACAGAGATCAGCCGAACACAGGTGCAGGAGCCAACAGCAACATAACTGCCAAGGCAACAAGCCAGCACCTTACCCACCATCCCTGTCCCCTGGCGTTTTGGAAGGCCTTGGCACTGTTACTTCTCACCCTACTAAGGACAGTGTAGAAAAGAAATAGACAGCCTCTAGTGAGTCAACCCCCCATGTCCTCTGAGGGTATCCCCAGTCAGCCAACGAGACTTAGTCAAGGGTAAACACATTTGCTGTAAATCACTGGAAGAAACAGTTTTCTCCTGCGTCCCTTTCCAGCCGAGTTCCAACAGAAAAGACTACGATGAAATTCCCAGTTACGTTATGGTATTGAAATTTCATCTGCAATAGCCCTTTTGGTTGCCTACCTAAACAGGACAGTTTGCATAGCACACAGCACGGCGCCAAGCACAGAGCGAGGACTCCAAAAAAAGTTTCTATTATTATTAGAATACAAATTCATGCAGCCAATAACTATTTGATACCACTCATCAGGAACTATGCCATGCTGGGGTTAAGTGCTAAAGCAAAATCAAGACCCTCCCTAC